TAAGATACAAGATGGTCTCAATCAGATGCACAAACTAGTACAACCAACCAATCAAAACACCAAATCAATAGGCTTATAAAAGAGTACAAAGAAGATGAAAAAACACCAAAATAAAAGCTGTAGTATGAATAGAATATCACTCACACCAAGCAATGAATCAATGATCTCACTATTGAAAATTATGCATTGGATGTTGCAAACTAGCTTACTAAATTTCATCTCGATCCTGTGATGAAATAATCTACAAACACCGATTCACCAAGATTTTTTTGTAAATATGTGAAAATGACTCTCTCTCTTCTCTCTCAAATAGTTGTACATAAAACTGAATATGACCTCTCTCACATTGCCTAATCTGACCCCTCTCCACTTTACTTAATGAAACTTACAATGGACTTTAATATTGGCCTTTCTCTATATAGGAAGGGAGCCTAAACCTAACATATCTCCTCTTTACGACTATGTGGAGTTACTGTGAATTCAGCGACCTTACAACAAGCGTCAAACTTCCATCTTGTTATTACCTTAGTCAACATATCAACAACATTTTCATCAGTATGAATTTTTACCAAATCTAGCAACTTAGCATCCAAAACATCATGTATCCAATGATAACTTATATCAATGTGTTTAGACCTAAAATGAAAACTTACATCAACAAACACCCATAATAATTTAACAAACAATAACACACAATAGAATACCTTAGTACCTCAAATCTTTAAAGGCTCAAAGGTTATCCCCTAAGAATTTACTTGCTTTCAAGCTAAATTCAAGCTCTCTAATGCTTTGCAAGGTTAGTCTACAATTAATAACAACCACCAAGAACTAATAATTATCTAAAATAAACTTCCAACTAATAATTTGCTCAATTTAATAATCCATTTTTTCAACTACAACCTAAATAATTATTAACTCAAATAATCATTAATATAACATTTTATAATCCAAATTTCTCCTTAAAGTAACTAGGGTCCATCCAAAACCTTAGCCCTAAACTCCTGACCTCATTATTTTCAAAACTAGATTTAGATAAGTCAAATAACTGCCATTAGTCCCATTTAAATCAATGAGTTCGGATCTATAGCCTTAAGTTTGAAAATCAGCATCCTTGAACCTTAAACCTTACTCCAAATTTGTGTAAAGAGAAGAGGAAAAAGTAGGGGAGACATACATAGGTGGAAACAAGCTCAAATACCTCCTAAGAGCTAGAAATTCCATGCCTTAGTAGAGCATTTGCTCTTTCCATCGCTCCCTCTCTTTCTTTTCTCTTGTTCTGCAACTTGTGTTTGCAAGTTTATGGCTTAATATTTTTCTTGTTCATCATGGCAAGCTGTGCCATTAGCCATAGTGAATGGCACAAAATGACCAGCTCAAATTTAATCCTTTAATTTGAGCTCAAGTGGCCCAAAACTTTACTAAATCTTATCCATAAGCTGTAAGCAAATCCAATAAGTTTATTAGCCATTTCAAACCATCTTTAAATTAATTGATACTAAATTTTACTTATTTAACCTTGTTTATTTTACTTAATCCAAGAATAAAAATTCAAGATGTTGCACAAAGTCACCTAGTTTTCATTATTTAGTTGTTTTTTTTTTTTTAAATTGCAACATGTTTTCTATTCAGGTATTCATGGATTGTATTTTAAGAAAAGGTGCCAGTGTGGGCTTCTCAACATGGCCTATTAAATGGGCTTGGCCCATTTTTGCATGAGATGAACAGAAGTTTGAAAGTCGACTCGTGTGAAATAAGAATCAGGAACAAACACCCACATATGGAGCACGCCCGGGGCCTTTTTTATTTCCCCAAGAAATAACAGACATGGATTCCATTTTCTTTTTCCCCACCTGTGGAGTTCCGAACTCTAAGCCTTTAAATATCTGTTTAGAAATTAATATCAGATTTTTTTTAGTTGTGGTTCGTCTGATAATATATGCGTATTTAAAATCGCAACAGAAATTTAGCATCTTAAGCAACAGATTTTGTCCTATATTATGCATTTGATGTAATTTATTGACAAAAAAATATCAATTTTGTCACTTATAAATGAATTTGATGCATATTTTTAAGTAGAATAGTATGCGCTCATCTTTTATAAGTTCTTTAGGCTACTTTAGAACTTTGATATTTAATTGAATTTCAATCTTCCTGAAATATATATATATATATATATATAATAAAATATAGTAAAATAAAAAAATGCGATTTGAACTATAAAAAACATGTTTACGATTAATCATAAATTTAAAAATAAAAATAAAAAACTGAGGAACATATAAAGTCAATACTAAATACATTGTGAAAGTGACAAACATGTCCGTCCATGTTCAGAGACTAGAATTTTGTTGGGGCATTGAATGTCCTTTTTTTTTTTTAAGGGTTGTTAGTTCTTTTTTTTTTTTCAGGTTGTCAGTCCGCTTTCTTCGGCCACGTTTATCTCATAATTGTCAATAGAAAGCAAAGCAAACATTCCAATCAGAGGCTTTTTCTTTTGTTGTTTTAAAGAACTCAACTTTGGAAACATGTATTCAAATTCAATGAAATAGCTACATACTCCCACCATTTCTATATGCAAAGAAAAAGAAATTACATCATACTGTTTAAAAAAATTAATTAATTATAATAATTATGTCTGAAATAAAAAAAATAAAGTAAAATATTCTTTATTAATTAACATAACCATACCTTAATTATTTCTTGTTAATATGAATTATGAAGGGTGATGTAAAAAATATTTAATAAATATTTATTAAAATAATTGATTTTGTTTATAAAAAATATAAGTTAAAAGCGAAAATTCTTCATTTTTCCATGAGGATTAGGACAAGGCTTCACACATTAATCCAACATACTTCCCATTCTCCCCCACCACACAGTTTGGTGTGGATGAAAGGAATGGAGAGAAAAACATATGGAAGAGAAAAAATTTTAGAGAGAAATTTTTAAAAATAGAAATTTTATCATTTTTAAGAGTTTTTTTTCCTTTTTTTTTCTCATTTAAATGGAGGGCGCGCGCACAACTATGTACATATATTTTATAAAACAAATTTGTTAAAATTGAGATTCATAAATGTTTGTAAAGTCTTATTTCTATTTTCTGATTTTTTTTTACAAAAAATCAAATCTTCTTTCTTTCTCGAGAAATAAATTTTATGGAAGTGATGTGATGTATTCTCAATTTCGAAAGTTTCATTTTTTATATTCTCTTCTTCGTCATATATCACTTTTTTAATATGCGCTATGCCTAATATGTAGGAGACCTACGCACGTCATTAACATTTTATTTTTTTTCACCAACATTTTCAACCAGAAACCTTAATCATCACTTAAACATACACAATAAAAGAATACTATATATTGTGGACGTGGCCTTTTTAAAATATCGCCGCCACATGACCACAGTTACTATTATTATTATTTTTTTATTATTAAAAGTCGTACTTAGCTCGGAAGCATACTGTCACGGGCTAAGAGTCTGGCGCAACACACGGCGCCCGTGCGGCGTCTCGAGCATTCCATACTCCCCGAGACAAGCCTTACCACATACGAATTTCACTGGTTTCGCCCTGTTATGGACTCATCAGGGAGGCGACACTAGCCCCCGACCAGTTGTGCACTTAGCCCGAAGACTAAGGCAGAACACCTCCAATGTCAATGTCGCCCCCTTTACTCATATTGTGCGAGGCTAACCAGCGAATCGTTCATTACATTGATCTCTACACGATCATAAAAATATCACCCGTGACAATACGCTATATGTTCATAAGTCAATATTGCTTATTAATGTGAGGTAAGGAACAATCATAAATAAAAAGGAATATTGTTTTTTCATTTCATGATTCTCTCGAAGAGGCAGATATAGATTCTGGCCAAAAAAAAGGGGGCAAATATAGATAGGCTGCCTTGAGGAAGAAGCAAATCATTTTTACTTGTATAAGACGAAACTAAACATAATTTATAAAATAAAACATAATATAAAATGCAAACAGATAGTAAGGCATTGCATAAACAAGCTAAGTCAGCCTTGACTTCTGACCAAAAAAAAAAAGGTAATCTCTGAGATTTTTCGTTTGATCCAAATTCTTCATTTTTATTATCTTTTGATGTTGATTGACCTCGGGATTATAGTTTATTTATTATATTAATATCAATGATGTTTCTATTTGTTGATTAATTAGAGAATACAAGATGCGCATACATGTATGTATGTATGACCATTCGAACATGTTGCTTATGTATAAACTGCAAATTAAGCTGACAAAAGTAAAAATTTGATGAGATTTTCAAGCAGACTTATAATTAATTGAATCAAGCAAACTCAAATTGTCAAGGTGGTGGCCAATTAATTAGTAATACAGTCAAGCTAGCTTCCAGACTTTATCTTCTCTCTTTCAAGCATTACGTAGGTTGAATTTTGAATAATCTCACAAAATAGGCTCATTGTGCTTGGTATTTCGAATTTCAAATAAATTAACTCAAGCGGTCATATGAAGCTATTACTTTACATGTCATATTGTCAACTTTTTTTTTAAAAAAAAAATCTGACTCTTTTTCAACCCTGCAAATCTGCAATTTTTTTTGTTTTTGTTTTTTTTCCTTTTTCTGCCGTATCATCTGGAGGAGGACCAAAAAAAAAAAAAAAATTAGCAGTCGAACTGATAAACACGCAACCCCTTTAAATTTTGTTTTTTCTTTTGAAAAGCGGTATATCAATAATCAACAATAAATAATATTCTTTCTCTATTTCACTTTTTTTGCTTCGTATTTCTCCGTATTCAAAGCCGCAACGTTTTTCCTGGCGAATAATCCAACGGTATCACGTGACAACAACCACTGGAAGAGGAGGGCACTATTCGAAGGGGAAAAGGAGAAGGGACCCTCTAGAGAACGTCACGAAGACGGATCATCCACCTCCATGTCAGCACACAATGGCTATAGTACGGAATTACAACCACCCCTAATCCCACCTCCCCACTTGATATTGATTTGCATAGCTTACACCGATAGGAAAATCAAGAAAGATGGACTTAGTCTCTTCTGGTTTGCTACAATCTGTCATTTCAAACCACAAGGCACCAGGAAATTTCCATCGTGCTAAGCGCCTCATTGAATCGTAGACCCCAAGAAAGTGAAAGAAAACCCCATATATAAAAGCCTGAATGGAACACTGTGATGATTAAAATAACCACAGTTGACAGCATGACCATTTTGAGCTACTTCAATGATACCAGATATACACGCAGCATTCACGTTCGAGTTCAAGAAGACAGGCTTCCCCACACAAACCCCATCCAGGTTATCTCCTCTCTCTCTCTCTGTATCTTTCTTTCCCGTCAAGCTTTTTTTGCTTTGCAACTAAACAGCTTCTTGATTTCTTTCTTTCTTTTTTCCCTTTTGCTCTGTTTCTTTCAAAGCAAGCTTCTCTGCATCCGAGACACCCATTTCTTGGTTGTATCTGAGTGAAACTAATATGATCAGAGATAGCCTCTGCATTTGTTACCCATCCATTTGTTTAATGAAAATTTCGCCAGTCAACTTGATAATTCTCCGGTGCAGGATCAAGATCCTGTCTTTCCAAACAGAACAGTGGCGGGGCAGATCTCGAGGAGGGTCTTCGAAATTTTGTTCTACTCACACTTAATGTTAATCACAGTCTTGATAATCTTCTTGACTACCTACGGCCTAATCTCTGCCTCTCGCAACCACCAATTCCACCCCTCAAGGTGGTACCCTCCGCTTCTGTCTTCAACAGCGAGTGCCGGAGTATTTGCCTTTACATGTCAATGGATCACAGCGCGCAGGCCCTCAAAGGTCATCAAGGCAGCATTTTGGCTGAGTCCCCTCCTTACACTAGCAGTTGGCGTTATGTTTGTGTACATTGAATCTGCAGTTAGTATGGTAGCTGGTGTGGTTGCCTTGGTTTCTGCATTGATACTGTCTCTTTATGGCTGTTGGGTCAGTCCCAGATTTGAATATGCCAACAAATTGTTATCAATCTCCTTAACTTTTCCTCCTGCTAGAATTATGGGGCTGGTTTTCTCATTAATCCTTACTGGTATTCTTTATTGCTGTTTCCTGGTTGCTGGGATAGGAGGGTCTAAAGCTATTGAAAGCAAAACCAAGTTGTCCGCTTTGTTCATCTTGGTGATCCTGCTGAGCCTAGGATGGACTATGCAGTTTCTGAAGAACGTGCTGCAAGTCTCTGTCTCAAGGGTCATGTACATGAATTTTGCTTGTGGAGTACACATGGACACAAGAGTGGCATTCCATGACACAACCAAGTACTTAACTGGTAGTGTTTCCATTGGCTCCATCCTTGTGCCTCTAATTGGACTCTTTCGAGGTTTTGCAAGATCCATGAGTCTGGCTGGAGGAGACACAGATGAGTTCATGTTCTCCTGCGTTAGTTGCTACATGGGGATTGCTTCTACTCTTGTAAGACGTGGCAATCGATGGGGTTTTGTGTATGTTGGAATCTATAACAAGGGATTTGTGCAGTCATCCTCTGATACATGGGAGATGTTCAATAGGGTTGGTTTGGAGCAACTGATAGACTCAGATCTCACAGGATCATTCTGTTTCCTTTGTGGGGTGGCAGGGGGTGCTATCAGTAGCCTGATGAGTGGAATATGGACCCTTTTAATTCACAAGAACTATGCTGCAGAAGTGTCCATTTATGCCTTCTTGATTGGCTACTTCATGGTGAGTCTCTTTACATGCATTTCGTTATTTCTTTAGCATCACTTATGTGAGTCCGCCCCATATACTCATGCTAGTAGTGGTACCAATGTCTTTTACAGTGCCGGCTGGCTATGGCCTGGCCACAAGCATGCGTTTCAGCTTACTACGTAGCTTACGCAGAGAATCCACAGAACAATCGATTTGACTCAACAATCCCGCTACGGTTGCAGCAGCTTCAAAGAGCTCGAGCATAGCAAACATTCTTGTGTCTTTCGTAGATTCTAATCTTACTAATGTAGGTTCCTTATCATAGTCCCATGAAACCGTTGAAATTGGCACATTGTTGCAACTTGCAAGGACTGTAATGAATTTGTATAAAAGGTGAAATGTACATAGCTCACGCAACACAATTCAGGCTAGAGTAGCCTGAAATCACGTTTTAAATGACCACTGATTCTTCCGTTTCTTCTTCCCGAAGGCAAATTGCTAGAATCCCATAGGGAGATCAAATTTACTCACCATCGAATCAAAGCAAGAACTTACTACAATCTTTAGCTTTGATAAAGTAGATCCTAACTTCTAAAAATTAAAGCGCATTGCTTCACACAGGAAAAAATTACTGGCAACATCTCTAAATCATGTACAACTTTCATGTGAACTTGCTAGAGATCAAAATACAGCGAAGCCTTGTAATATTTGAATCTTGTAAAATGAAGGATCAAAAGGACAAGAATCAGGGCTTCCTTCTGATCGGTGGATGCAGCTAGAGATCATAGGTTCAAATCAAAGCACTTGCCCTGTTCGGTCACTGGTTACAAAAGTGGAAAGGAATTTCCTTCTCATCATCCCTGTGTATGGTTTATCATGAACTTCATAATTATTCCTCAACAACATCTTTTTTATAAATTATTGACAATAAGAAAATGAGAGTTCTTTTCTATCATCAAATTACTTCATTATATTGTTCATTACAGTCCTTTTCATTTTATCTGACGTATCAATCCTAATATTTTATTTACCACATGGTCCCTGCAGCCTCGATTTTACAGTGTTAACATAACAAAGGTATAAATTTTTGTTTTATTATGGCATGGCTCTCATGTTGATGTCAAAACTCTTGGGGTGGAAGTAAAGATATATATATATATATATATATATGTCTTTACTGTTTCTTTCTTCATTCATTGCAAGATATTCATGTTTGCTTTGATTGCTGTCTAAGTAGAAGTTTTCACATGGGAAGAGCATTTAAATTTAAGAAAATGTTGTTGCCCAACTCCATCCATCCATTTATTTCGTTGTCCTCGTTGTCTTTCTCATTCTCCCAGATGACTATAGTGTTTAAATCAAAAGAGAAGTAAATATTTTTCATGATGGAAAATTCACTAGTGGCCCTTTTTTGTTTCTTTATTTTGTTTTGTGTTATTTTTTTTTATGGCTACAATGTAACTCTCTTTTAAAGTGCCGTAACTTTGACTTTTTTTTTTTATCCCCTGCTACATGTCCATGAACGGGGATCGCTTAACGCATCGGACTCGAAATGATATTTTTATTATTACAATCTATGATATTCCTCTGTAAGATTGTAGAAGTCTTTTGACTATAAACATGATTAGACCTTTTTTTTTTTTATAATATGAGTCATCCGTGGCCTTGTATTCAAAATTTTTTTTCATTTATTTCACTTTTTCACCTCCCACCACAATATGGTTTGCTTTTCTACATTTGCAAAGCAAGAGAGGGAGATAAATAAAAAATAATATTATATAATTTGCTCACTTTTTATTTTTTATTTAAGGGTTATGTTTGAAATTTCATTTCCTTTTATTCATTGTGCTTTTGTTGTATTGATATTAATGAAATTAGTAAAAATTATTTATACTCACTCCGTTAAAAAAATATAAGGTATTTTTTAAAAAGTTGAATGTTAAAAAATATAAGACATTTTTAGTCTTTTGAAGTGTAATAATTACTTTTTTTTTCAAAAATATAATAACTTTATATTTGTTGTAAGATATTTAGTAGGGATAAATATGAAAAGATAGGGTTAGTTTGAAAGTAGATAACTATTTTATTGGGGTGAAATTCAATTAAAAATATTTTATTTTTTTAATGGAGGGAGTATGACTTTTTTATAGATTATATATTATATATAATAGATATAATAGATGTATTACATGAGAAATGCAATTGGAACTAATTAAAAAGAAAAAGCACTGATATTTTGGGTCCAGTTTTCATGCTCATTCCAAAGATGAGCACCATCCTCAAGATGAGATATAATTTAAATAATTCAGATTAAATTTAAATAAAGTATTATTATATATTATATTTATTAAAAAAATTTATAAAAATTATAAAATAATTTTAATACATTTTTTATTTTTAATCTAATCTAGATTTAATTTAGAGGGTCTAATTTAATATTAAAATTTTTATAATTGATTATCCAAATATACTCTGCATTATATAGAATACTTTTGAATCATTAATATATATCAATTATAAAAAATTTAATATTAAATTAAAATTTTTAAATTAAATCTAGATTTTATTAAAAATAAAAAATTTATTAAAATTATTTTATAATTTTAATAATTTTTTTAAAATAAATATAATATATAATAATATAATAATACTTTAAATTTAAATCATTTAAATTTAATTTAAATGGTTTATATTTCATTTCAAGAATGAGTACATGGGATCAGGAGGGAAATGATTTCCTGATATTTTCAAGATAAGGTTGTTTGAACAAAAAAATAGCATGGTACCTAGGCAGCCAACTTCAACGATAATGCCGTCGTTTCCCAATAGGGTGTCACCGCACTGGCCAAAAGCCTAAACGAGGCACAAGCAGTGACAAGAATAGCAACTTTCGCTTGACATCGGCAATCACTGCAACGGGAACTGTTTCCAAATTGGCCTTCACAGTAGAGCAGACTTCTCAATTCCCCACCCCCCCTCTTTTTTTAACTCGATTCTTCAATTTTAACGTTGTTTATAAATTGTTGACAATCTTCATATGATTTTGTCCACCGTGGACAAATGAGACAGGCCACAGCGGAGTGAACTTTCCTTTCCTTTTATTTTTTCCTTAAAATTCTTGACCATAGTTATCCATTCAATAGACTAAGGATATACTAAATCAACCTAGATGGAGTTCAAATTGAGAGTTCGCCCTAACAGCTTCCGGTTCAATCTTCAGTCAATAGAATAATGAAGTCCCATATATTTAATAGCATCTAAAAGTGCCTAATTCTCCCATGACTTCGTCACAAGACACAATCGCTTACATGAAAAGAATGAAGGGGAAATGATAAGTTGATAACCGACCTGGGAGAAGCGGCGCCGTCGTGCACCTTAATGGGGAAGAAGCTTCTTTCAAAACGAAGCCCGGAATTCAAAGTCACTGAAATTTGCGGAGCATTCGACCGACGAAGCAATGTTAAAGATGCCATTTGCATTTCAAAGCTGCTGATAATCCAGTTAGTGCCCAATTTACTTACAGAACCAGAAGTTAGAGTGCTCAGAGTCAGAGCAAGCCACTTCCTTCCTTCGTTCCTGAGGCATTGGACGAATCGCTCGTTGGAATTTGAGCTTCTCGGTTGCCAGCTTCCCATTTTTGGCGCATGAGGATCTAGGACTGGGACCCTTGCAATTGATCCCCTGGCCAATAGATCATATCGCTGATGTGGCGTCGCTCCTTAAGATGACATGTTTGTGGAAATTACCTCCAATTACAAAAGTTAATTATTATTCCACGATTTATTTGACATCAATCCCAATGTTTATTATCCAACTCAATGAATTTGTATTTCACCATCCATCCCTTGTTCATTGAGCAGATCAATAAACATGTCTCACACATGGCCATCGCAGCTGTTCATTGAACGGAGAGTGTTTTACTTATATTTTACCCTTTTTTTGGTAAAACTTATTTTTTTACCCTTTATTTGTAAATTCAGATACAAGAATCTCCTTTATTGAAAGTCATTTATCAATAATTGATAATTGAAGGCTAGGAAATACTCCTGGGGGTTCTGTATGAAAAAATTCTTGCATGAACTGATATATCACATTATTATAACTTGTCCAAAATTTTTTTATCTGAAATGATTATAAATATAAATTAATTTTGTTCCTGATAATGATAGAGGGGGAGACAAATCAAAAAATTAATAAAGACACCCTATTCTAAAAATAAAATTATTAAAATAATAATATATTAGATTTTATTAAATTGAGTTGGCTCAACATGATATATTTTTATTAGATAAATCATAAATAATGTATAACAAATATTAACAATCAATCCACGCAAAAATTTCCCCCCTTAAGTTTATGCAACAATTTGCAAATAAGCAGGTACCGTGTGCGTACATTAATTACGCGACTCCCTCCCCGTCGATCCTTTTTTAAAGGCAAATTTACTCTCTCACGCGTAAATGACCTTATTTTTATTTGATATGATTGTTAGACAATGGTTGAAGATTTTACTTCATAGGTTTTTGGGAAGCTAACATTCGGTTACACGCCATGGTGATCGCGACGGGCCAACCAATTCGCTGAACGCCAGCAACCGTGTGATTACGATCAGATCAGCCTTCTTCGGGAATGCAAATAGCGTGATCAAAATAAGAGCCACTAAAAATGTGTTTGATTTAACATAAGGAAAATGGAGATAAGATTTTAATGTTATCTTATTTAATTTGATTTAAGAGAAGAGGAAAGAAAAAATAATTACATATAAACAACTTTATTTTTATATTATTAACATTATTTTTTAATAAAATATAGTTATAAATATTGTTAACATATAATTATAAATATATAAAATAATTATCATTATTAAATATATTATTAAAAACCAATTACTATCAAAACTATTTTAAAAGATAAAAAGTAATAATTAAAAAAGAGGATAAATTAATCATTGAATAACATAATCATACCCTCCCCTCCCAATCCTTCCAATTAGAGGGGAGGGTTTGGAGGGGTCGGCTCCGCTCCACTTTTTCAAATAAAATAAGGAGAGGGAGCATCCTTTCCTCCAATCAAACATTATGTGCGCCAAGTTATCTGCTTACTGTACAACGTCATCAAATGAAGAGCAGCTCAGGTCAGGACAGTGGAAACCGAGTACCCAACTGGTAAATTTAAAAATGATGTTCACAAAGGACCAAGCTGCTTTGTGCACGCGGCAGCCACGTCAGATGAAGCCCTTGATGTGAAAAGCTACCCCAAGTTCTGTGGATGTATGCTCAATTGCTAATAGTCTCGTGATGCTGACTAGTGCTTGTCTCTTTCTCTCCTCCTTTACTCGTCATGCCCCAACACCGTGATGGCGATTCTTCTTCTAAAGCCGCGTGTGTATTCCTTCGAACCATCATGATATATCCCTGTATTCTGATGCTTTTTTAGTCGAGGAGTTTAGTGTGACTCTGGCAGTGACTTGTCTTCTTCCTCTACTATTTCGTTGATTCCTCCGTCGCTAGACATAGTACGATTCCCTTCTACTCTGCAACTCACAAGCCAATCAGGAGAACCATCATTTCTGATCAGATATAAAGCAGTGATCTCGAAGTTAAGTTTTTTTATCTTTAATTTCTGATATGGCTGGTTGTCGTTTCCATGATTCAAGGGATTTTGATCATCTTGCTCCATTATGCTCGCTTCTTTGATTAGTTTCCACTTTTCTCTGTACACGAGTTTGAATATCAATCTCCCATGGATACCGTAGTTCCCGTGTCTAATCGCGTGGGTTATATTTTGTTCTTGAACGTCTCGTTCCTTTTACTAGCTTGCGTGTTCGGGATTATCCATTTGCACTCTACAGAACTTGTTCTTAGCCACCGAGCCGCCTCATTCCGTGGTGGGACACAGCAGAATTGCCACAACTTCGTGGGACTGGACGATTACAGAGCCAAATGTTTGTACCTTCAATCCAATAATCCATGCGTCTCACAGGGCTATATTGATTACCTTTATCTTTTCTATTGCAAATTTGGGCGATTCCCGTTGTTGGGCTATGCTCTTCTGTTCCTCTGGCTTCTTGTTCTGTTTTATCTGCTAGCTGATACGGCTTCTGAATACTTCTGTCCTTCACTTGAAAGCCTATCAAAATCACTGAAGCTTTCCCCTACAATTGCCGGGGTGACGCTTCTTTCTCTCGGTAATGGAGCCACTGACGTTTTCGCCAGTCTCGTCTCTTTCAAAAGTAGCGGTACAAGCGGCGTTGGCTTCAACACAGTACTCGGGGGTGCTTCGTTTGTGTCCTGTGTCGTGGCAGGAATAGTGAGCATTTCGGTACGGCACAGGAGAATTCAGGTTAAAAAGTCTGCTTTTATTCGAGATGTTTGTTTTCTTCTCTTGGTCCTGCTTTGTTTGTTTACCATTCTTATCAGCGGTGAGATCAACGTTCTAGGGGCAATATGCTTTTCTTCCTTGTATATAGTTTATGCAGTTATTGTTTATATTTCATCTACACGATGGAAAGGCGTTTGTGGTGATACCGAAAGGGATAGTAATTCAAGTTATAGCAGTGACTTGAGTGTGTCCCTTCTCAGTGGCATGGAAAATGGGTCACCTGAAAGTGCAGAAGAAAGTTCTCAAGAAGGTTGCTTGGAAATTGAGAAAATTTGCTGCTGTATGAGATCTCCAGCATGTACAGTGTCACTTTCAATCCTGAAGATGCCTCTTTACTTGCCCAGGAGATTGACAATTCTTGTTGTTTGTGAAGAGAGGTGGTCTAAGCCCATTGCAATTTCTTCAGTTGTACTAGCACCTGTTCTGTTATCTGCCTTGTGGATCTCTTGTGAGGGAGACACTACAGTCAACACAAGCCTAACAGTTTATGGAATTGGATTATTGATTGGGGTTATACTTGGGATAACTGTGTTTTTCACAACCAAGCAGTCAAGCCCACCAAAGAAATGCATGTTCCTATGGCTTGCAGGAGGTTTTGTGATGAGTGTGACCTGGAGCTACATTTCAGCTCAGGAATTGGTGGCTCTGTTGGTTTCACTGGGCTATATATGTGGAATAAGTCCTCCAATACTGGGGCTAACAGTTCTTGCTTGGGGAAATTCAATTAGTGATTTGATGACAAATTTAAGTGTGGCTTTACATGGTGGACCAGAAGGTGCTCAAACAGCAATATCTGGTTGTTATGCAGGCCCCATCTTTAATACTCTGGTGGGCTTGGGCTTATGTCTCATAATCTCAAGTTGGTCAGAATACCCGTCTTCTATTGTGATTCCCAGAGATCCATATCTGTTAGAGACTTTGGCATTTCTGGTAGGTGGATTGGCCTGGGCTCTTGTGGTTTTGACAGCGAGGGGTATGAGGCTTGACGGAGTATTGGGTGGTGGGCTTTTGGTTATTTACTTTGTTTCAGTGTTTCTGAGGCTGGTTCAGACACTCGGGCCTCTCCAGCTCCTAGATACGTGAGCCCTACTCTTTAAAAGATGATTTGAATCACTTTAATTAAGCAACTACTAAGCAACTGATTACCAAAAGAAAAAAGAAAAAAAGCTACTAAGCAACTGACATATTTTCTGTACAGTTTTCTGGAACTTATTATATGTAACTGAACATTTGTTGGTTGTGTAACTGCCACCGCTTTTCCTTTGGACAGCGGCAGTAATACCGTAAAGTTCACTGTTTAACAGATGAGATGTTCACTTGGTTTTAGCTGGAGAGAGATGATATATCCACGAACTGCATCACCTGTATACAGTATGCTATATAGTGTTGCTCATGTTCACTTTTTAATATTTTTCAAACCCTTTATTTAGTTGCATTTAGAATGTCATTAGTCAACAACCGCTGTGCCCGTACTCCACATGTTGATGAGTTAAGGAGCTGGAGGAATTTTAGGAAGCACTCCCCCTGCTCTATTTATAAAGCATAAAAAAGATTTTTTTTTAAGGGAGAATTACTGAGAGAATATAGTATGTTATTAATGTGTCTACATTTTATAGAGGTACTAATTAAATTTTCAGAACAAATCGATGAATTTAAAAGTTTTTTTTTAATTTTGTTGAAACATGTTAAAAGTAATTTTTTCTAATATCAATGTCTCTGGACAATGTGATTTGCATTCGGTACTCGTTCCAAGTGATGAGCAGTGCGTGCTCATCAAGGATCAAGAGCAATCTTTACTCTTCATTTCAATTGAAATTGATCCATGTTGTTTATTTAAATTAATTTTTAAATATTTTTAATATCATATTTATTAATATAAAAAATTTTAAAATTTTAATTATCAATCCAGCTAGTATGAATTTAATCTAGCAGTCTAATTTAAGATTAATTTTTTATAATTTTATAATTTGACTGTTCAAATAATTTTTAGACAATTTAGATGACTTAATTTAATATTAAAAAATTTATAAATTTTAAAATTAACCATTTAAATGTACTCTAAATAATTTTAATTTAATATTAAATTTTTTCATATTTTTATTTTTATTTTAATAAATATAGTATTAAAAATATTTAAAAATTAATTTAAATATACGGTAGGAATCAATTTAGATTGAAATGGATGGTTAGGATTCTTCGTAACTCTGATGAGCACTTTCAATATGCTCATCACAGTGATGAACACTGAATGTGGATGCATGGATAGTGAAACCCTTAACTTTAGGAGAGAGAGGTTCATTATCATCGTTTTTCCTCCACTTCTTAATCATGAACATTAATTAAATCTATGACTAAAACAAATTCATTTACTGCACTGAGAACAATGGTCCCGAAAGTTAGTATATATAAGGAAAGTGGAGTATTTAATTCTTCCTCAACAGTGGGAAGGAAGGTCGGCACACTACCAGGCTTTTTCTTTTTTTTTTTCTGGGAATAACCGTAGCATTTCCGGTGATACTGATTATCTAGATTCAACAATATATTTGGCAAAAGATGCACCCAAAAAAAAAACAAAAGAAAAGAAAGAAAAAACATGTTGTGGTGGTCACGCTAGCCCAAGATTGATTGGAGTTTACCCAATTTCCAAACGACACTCTTTGTTTGTTTATAGTGCATATTGCATATGTTCATTTCACTGGCGTCTCTGGATTGATTGAACCAAGAAATGGTCCCTTTCACGTCCCCGCCTTTACGTCCTTTGGTTAATTATTAATTGCAGTACAATTATTGGAACCGGTGGCCGTAGTTCGCGGCCACGAAACACATGCGTGCACTAATCAGTTTTTGACTATTCACTTTCTTGCGTAGCTTCCCAATCACTCGTTCGCCCTCGCGTTAATATCTTCATCTCCACACTTTTTTTTTTTTGCCTACACTGGATGGATAAGATTGCCCAGATCATCGTCAATATTATTGTAATATCTCGTGCGTTGGGTACGCTTGTCTGATCATCAGAGAAATGGGGCAAGCGCTTGTCTGGTCAGGCTTCAACGGTGATCCTGCCAGATGCTGTAATAACTCTTAAAAGGACAATTAGGTTATGATTTTAAAAAAGCATTTAAATTATTAATTTAAACTGTTTAAATTTTAAATATAATTCTCGACTTAGAACAGTCTTAGCTTATATTTACAAATTATTTCATACATTATTTTATCTAAAATCTAATTATAATTAAATTTATATCTTGAGACGTAACTGTTGTTTTTCCTTAATACAGGGGAAAGAGTATGTCCAAGTCACTACAAATCTTGATTTAGAAGCAAGGATGCCTTTAGAATACGCAATATAAAAAATGTAAACTAAAATTAGTATTTTTTATGGTTATGAATTATACTTGAATAAAAATAAAAAAAAAAATATCTTTTGCAAGCTGCGCTAATGACTGGATTTTGTTAGTGCGAAGAGTGTTTTCTGAGCTAGTCAATGAAGTTGTTAGAGCTGGTCAGTTTAGTCGGCCTCTTCATGTCCTTTTTAGTATTAATATATGATCCATATCGATGTCATTATCAATGATACCAATCCAGTATGTAAATAATAAAAAATCGGTAGAAAATCATATTATTCATAATTTTTCATTAACATGATTGACTATCCTAAAACATGTAAAATGCACAAGCTAATATAAACTATGGCTGGTATGAAACTATGAATGGCAGAGAAGAACAAAACAATATCATAAATGAAGAGAATTTTTATTCACTTCTGTGCATATATTTTGAATATAATTTTTATTTATAAGCCCACAATCATTCAAATCATATCCTAATATTATAAAGTTACAAACAAACATATAATGGTACATTATGTAATTTTTAAAAGTTATAGGTTACTAATAATAGGAAACTCTTTTTATGTCATTCATTAAGATATTAAGGACAAAAAAAATCTTAAGAGCTTTGAGCTATGAACATCCATAATATAATATTTATAATACAAACTATAAATTTAATAATAACTATATCATTTGGATTCAGTAGCATGTCAACAAGTAATATTAGAGCAGGTTGTTTTTCCTACTGTTCTTTTTGGCCAACTGTTTTTCCTACTGTTCACTCCTTCCTCAAAGAACAAATATTTAAAGAAAAATCAACAATAAGCTGTACTTGATAAGAAAACACTGCCTACTCCACTTCCCTTCCACTATGAAAATCATGCAAAAATATATAAGGGAGTGTTTATGTCATTATTTTTCATTTTAAATTTGATTTCCTCTTTCTTATAAAGACATGTACACGTGTTTTCATGGTTCCTGAATTATACTTGAATCAAAAAATTAAAATAAATATATCTTGCAAGTTGCACCAATGACTGATTTTGTCAGTACAAGGTCTTAAAAGCTAACCATTTTAGCTGGCCACGTTGTGTCCTTCCAATATCAATGTATAATCTGTATTAGTATCTTTTTTTTTTTTTGGCCCATCAATTCATATTAATATCGCTATCAACGGTTTCAGTTAATATAATTAATAGAAAATTATATTATTTATGAGTTATATAGACATTACAGCTCATTTTAGATTCTAGAACACGCACACATTTAACACCTAGTTTCGATTATATCATTTAGATTTAGTGTGTCAACCAATTAATATTGGAGTAAGTTATCCATGCTACCGTCCATTACTTCGTCAAAGAGCAGACTTTTAGATGAAACTCATTCTTCAGAATTCGTTTGACAAATGAGAATTGCACTAGTTATGCATAATAATCTATGGAATTGCATTGGACAAAAAGTAAAAGGAAGGTGGGGTAAATATGGACCACCGTGATTTAGAAAGGCAAGGCACATACGACATATGGAGTGGTCCTTGACGGTATGGTTGCTGGTCCTTCTGCAGGCTAGAAGGTCCTTCATCAATTCTGCTTTATCATCATCATCTTCATCAAGGACGTACATTTCCCCACATTAACAATCAAGAGAGAGCCTGTTCATGGTTAGTGCTTACTAAGGATTCTACGGCTTTCAACTTTCACGTTTCTTTTCCCCGGTTTTTTCATTCTACCTCTGCGTTTGCCGGAAACTTTGTCGTATCTGTCCTTGTCTAGCTCCCATCGACGCTTGCATATTAATCATGTATTCATGAGTTGTTTGTGCCCAATTGGAAATTGATCGATGATAGCAATGACAATACGTCCCCATTAGCTTGGTGCCAAACAAGGGACGATGATGAAGAGCCTTGCTTTGCTTAATAAACCTTGGAACGTTCAAGACTGTCCCTTTGGCGAAGCTTTGATGGCAATTCATGGCTGCACCATCTGATAGATAATCTGACATAGAAAAAGATGCCTAAGCATGGCTTGAGCCTTGACCTTTGAAGGGAATCACATTTTTTATTATTATTGTAGTGATCATCTTATATAACGACAATGAAATTTACAAGATCGCCACATTTTTAATTGAGCTGCAGAACATGGAGAAGTACATACAAAAAAAACAACCATTTCAAGGCAAGCAGCGCTATAATTTAATAACAACAATGGCTGTGGCGATCCTGATGAAGAGAAAGCAGAGATATATGGCCAAAAGGCCTGCCCCTAATGCCTTATCCAGCCTCATGTTCTTGTTGAGCAATATCACAAGTGCCCATAGCAGCCCCGCCGTCAAGAACAGAAGAGTCTCGTACAGGGAATGGTCTTCAGGAATCACATAAGATGATGGATATTCAGACCATGCTGATAGAACAAGAGGCAACCCCAAACCTATTAGTGTATTGAACATGGGACCTGCATAGCAACCTGATATGGCTATCTGGACCCCATCTTCACCACCATTTAGAGCCATTGCGCCATTTGCTATCAAATCCCCTAATGAATTACCCCAGGCTAGGACAGTTAGTCCTAGGATGCAAGGGCTCACCCCAATTATGTTCCCCAGTGAATACAAGAGGGAAACCAATTCCTCTGCAATAATGTAAGTCCATATTATACTCATTGCAAATCCCCCTGCTAGCCAAGGAAACAAACACTTTCTTGGTGGGCTTGAACTCTTCGTCTTCACACATGTTGTGCACCCCAGAATAAAACCAGCTATGGCAGCTGGCAAGTACTTGATCAAGTTGCTCTTTTTACTCGCGTATTCCAGCTGGGTATCACAAACAGCCGCGAATACTAGTGGTGCTAAGGCGACAGACATCACTGCAAATGGCTTCGACCACTTTTCCTCACTCACAATAGGTATTGTCAGTCTTCTTGGCAATGAAAGGGGTAGCTCTAGTGCTTTTAGAAACTTGCTTAGGTAATTGCAATTGAGCGAAGCATTGCCAAGACTCTGCGGATCTTGCGTTTCATCTTCAGCAGCGCTTGCTTTCTCTGCCACTTCTGTTTTCTCTTTCTCACTGTTCATAGAGCACAACATTGGTACGGCAGACTCTGCCAATGCCAATTCGTCCGAAAACAGTGCAGTTTCTTCTTTCTTTTCCCTTTTGTTTATAAAATGAGGAACTGAGACGGCACAAACATAAAGGAAGTAGGTAGAAATATAGCAGATTGAACCCCACAAGTTGATTCTGCCGACATAAATGATGACCGATAGGCTAAACAGAGAAAATAGGAGGAAACCAACGTCTCTAATGAAACTAACCTTATCAACTGTAATCTCCTTTGGGCTAACCAGAATACTTATAATCCCCAAAACCGTGCAAGAAACAAAAAGAGCCCCTCCAAGAATGCTATTGAGGCCGACGGCACCGCCGTTGGATCTTGTGAAAGAAACAACGCTGGCAAAAAAATCAGGCGCACCGTTTCCCAGAGAAAGCAGTGTTACTCCAGCTATGGTGGGAGATAGCCTCAAGATATTGGACAAACCTTCCAAGGAATGACAGAAGTAGTTCGAAGCTGTGTCCCCCAAGAGATAGAACAGTACCACTAGCCATAAAGCAAGCAGAGCAAAGCCCAGAACTGGAAATCCGCCTAGATTGCAGTAAAAGATCTGGAGATAATTTATGTATCCCCTGGAAAAGCAGTTGAGATTGGTCTTGACGTACGAGCACTTTGAAATATGGTCTGAGAGCTCGTGGAGATCGGCACATTCATCAGTTTGGAGGTCATGCAGAGTCGGAACGCGGTTAAAGATGGTTGCAGCGGGGCCATGGAAATGCTGGTTGAGAGCGTGATTGGAATTGGAGGGACAGAGATAGGCTTTAAGAAAGAAGAGGAGGAGGAAGAGAGAGGAGATGTTGATAAAAATGGTTGCAACTTTTCTAGGTCGAGGTCTGGAGGTGGGGAAGAAGAAAGTTGCCATTAATTAAACGAGGAGGAGGCTAGTGGAAGGAATAAAAATGGCGGAATAATATATGTGGACAAAATCTGGTGGGCCATTTGCTGTCTGTTGGGTGAGCTAGCTATGTGTGATGAACAAGGGCAAATACCAAAGAAACGAGATTTAACGAAGAAGAAGACAGAAATCGAATATTCAACTCTCAAAATTCAAAAGTTCTTGCTCTGATCTCAGCTATTTGATTTCATGCCGTGTGTATGATTGGTAAAGCGACGTAATTAAGGTGTTCACTAGACGTGAATGAAAGGAGAATGGAGGTGATGAGTTTAGACGACTGAACTTAATTGGCACTGTGATTCGGTTTAGAACAAAAAACAAAAAAGATTAGAAAAGAGAAGAACTTGGCATGCACTGTGATAATGTTTCCTACAGCGTTCCTTGTGGTCGACTTTGGCCAGGTAAACGTTTTCCTGTCCCCACCCTGACGCTGTTAATCAAAACACTTCATCTGACTTTTTCGATGTAATTTATAAAAAGTTGTTTACATATCATAAACAATAAAGTTCATTTCAAATTCTATGTAACGTGTGAGATTTATTGTCTAGTTATACTAAATTATGTCTTAAAAACATAGTTTAATTTGTGAAAGCAGGAATTGAAGATTCTGGCCAAAAAAGAAAGCAGGAATTGAAGAGAATCACAGCAAAGGAATCAATACCGCCCAAATTCAGCGTCGTTCATAAAATTAGAGAGTAAGGATGAGCGGGTTTGATTTGATTTGATGGCGTGGCAATATTGTCGTCTGTTAAGGACTCCAAGAAACGCGCCGAACCAGATTATTAAAGAGTATGCAATTATTTGATTGGATGCATGATGATGACGTTAACGTGAACGTGGTTATATATTGTATTCACAAATATAATCATTTAGTGCGTGTGCCGCTTTTTATTGACCAAAAATTAATTTATCAAAAATTAATTTGATAAAAATTAATTTAATGAAAATCAACTGTTATAAATAAATTTATGTTTAAATATATTTTTTTAAAAATCAGTCTGATAAGTTAAAAATAATTTAAATTATATATAGTGAACTATACTTTTAAATATATAATTATAAAAAAAGATATTAATTTATAATAATTTATATTTTTTATTATATAAATGTAATATATTAAAAATGTTTTAAATAATGTGATAAAAATTTTAAATAAAAATTTATAAATAATATAAAAAATTATTTTGAATAATATATATAATAAAAATGTATAAAAAATGTAAAATTAAAATAGTTGGGAAAACATTTATAATAAAATAAAGATAAATAATATAAATAAAGTTATGTTTATGACAAAATCAAATCATTTTTTAAAAATGGTCACTTCTCCATAAGAGAAACTTAGATCAAAACATTTGCTCCTAAGGGGGAAAAAAAACATTTGCTGAAGAAAATATGGAGATGCCCCGTTTTGTTAGCTAGCAAAGCAAAAATCCATTTGATCAAAGCTAAAAACAAGCATGGATTACGTTGGTTAAATGGCTTTCAATAATTTTTCAAATATGTTCTGAATATGTTTATAACGTGGATGTTAGCACCGTGTACGATGTAAGATTTACACAGATAATTAATATCTCTCCGGGTAACCAATAAGATGAGCAAAATCCCATGTGCAATCAAAATTGTTAATTTTTGGATACTGTAACGTGCTTTTTTTTTGGGGGACCGATAAGATGGCTCAAAAGCAAATGCGTGAAGCTCATCAGATGAAAAAAAGAAAAAGAAGGTCATCGGATCATTTGAGTGAGTATATTTCTGCGCCCTGAAGTATGATGATAATATATTTGCAGGTGCGAATAAAAACAATAAAAAATTAGATGGGAATAAAACAAGATTGTGATCAATCATCAATAATCAATCGTTAATAAAACAATAATTCCTGCGTCGCATTGCATGCCAATGATATTCGTCTGGGCGTTATCAGATGAGGGGCTTGTTTGTTTATGAGATCGATTGTTTTTTCCAAAAGGGGTTCAACAGTACATCTCTGTGATTGATTCAACCAAGAAATGGTGACTTTGCTCATAACAACTTCGTCATCTTCTCTCGGATCCTGATCCGATTCTCTCTTACGCACCTTCCTCCCCCATTGCTTCTGATCACTTCTGACTCTGTAAGCTGCGCAACATTCTCTTGTACGTCTTTTATAATATCTAGAATACAACGTGAATTGGGATTGTAACATTCGCCTCATTGAACAATCCAGATATCTCAAAATAGTTCCCTCAGTTTCCATTCTCAACCATACCATTCCTCTGATGAATCAGATCACACAAGAAATGCAAAGTAAAGGAGAAGGCAAGCGACAGATCCTGACATAAAAGTCACTCCAATGCATATCATGATTGACTGACCGATCTCATCTTTCTTTCCTTTATTTATTTATTTATTTTTTGGGGCAAATGCATTCTACTACCAAATAGGTTGTGACCGATTGTGGAACTTACTATGAATATGAATTAGTTTTGAAACAGTATGGCTTTCACACAAGTAAAATCTGAATTGCAAATTTATTTAACAGTTATTGACATGGAGTTGGCTTTCTTCTTTAGTAGAGGAGATTAGAAAGAGAATCACTATAAATCTGGACCATTAAATTAAATTTGATAATTTAGATTTAATAATTTTTAAAAATATAAATTTAATTTAAACAATTCAAATTTACAACGAAGGAGTAAAAAAAAAAAGCAGTGGAGAGATACTCTTATTAACACAAGCTATCTAATTTATACCTTGTTAATATTATTTAATTGCAATTATTTATTTACAGGAATTATGATTTTTCTTTTTGAAAAAAGTTGTATATTAAAAGGAGGGGTATAATATTTATATTCCATCCGTTAAAAAATATAATTTATTTTTAACAAAATCTCACAACCTAAGTAAAATAATTAATTATTTTTAAATTAATATTATTTTTTTATTTATCTCTATTTAATAGGATATTTTACTTTAAAGTAAATATATAGTGATTTATTTATTATAATTTTTTTTAAAAATAATAATTAAATCTTAAAATATTAAAAATAAATTAAATTTTTAAACATCCAATCTCTAAAAAATACAGTATACATGTTTATATAACCTAGATTATAACTTTCTGATAGTTATTGGAATTTTGTTTCGTTTCGTTTTTTTAAGATATTATATTGCTGGCGTTATAATCAAATGGGCTCAAGCCCATTTGTGCACAGCACTGGTAAGCCTACATGGGCTGAGGAGCTCGGATTTACCAAATATCAAAAGTTATCGGCCCAAAAAAAACAAAAAATCAAAAGAAAATTTAGAAAGGAAGTAAAATTGCGCGACTTAACGGATCAATCGGATAATGGCTGGCGCTGTTCAACTCCGCTGTCTCCCTTGCTCGCCACTCACCAGCAAAACACCGGTCAGTGATTGAAGTGGTGAAATTGAAGAGACCACCAAAAGTTTGAAACAACCACGAAAATGTTCGCATGTCCCGGCATTCACCAGGGCAGACTATACCCTACACAACCCTCCCAGTTCTTCTCTTCCAAGCCTTTCAATCGACTTCTCTTCCCCAGTAGCTCCTGTCATCTCATATCCAGAAAATGCGAGTTCAGTCCTTTATCTTTTTTATTTTCCCGGAAAAACCCTCAGCGGTTCAATTTCAGAGCTTCGGTGGAGCCCGAGGTTTCAGATTCGTCTGTTGGTGATAACCCACAATTTGCGCCGCAACCGTTCTCTGTGAGGATTCCTGTTGGTGATAGACATGTACGTTACTGACATTTTTGGTTGTGCTTTCCTGAACTTGTAATTGAATTGTGACATTTTATTTACCAGTTGTCTATAATCGTTAAGTGCCGCGCGCTTTTTTATTTCTTTTAATTTTTTTTGGTTTAAGTAGGATAGTTTCTGAACGTTGCTAGCTTTGTGAACTTAAACGACGGGGAAGACTTTCTATCCGTTGGCTGACCTTTATTACAAAATTTGGGGCACCGGTATGGCTTCCAAAGTGGATTCTTTGCTGGGCTATATATTTCATTTTCAGTCTTTATGGCCTCTCTTCTCGGGGATAGGGGATGGATTTGGCTTGTATAGTCTAGGAGTGCAAGAATAACAATGAGCATTATGGACTCAAAACAATCGTTTGATAGTGTGATAACAAAGCCTACCTCTTTCCATTGCGCCCCTCATTTACAGATTCTCGATAACAAGTGCTCGGGAAGACTTTTTTATACCTGGTTCTCCATTTTAGATCTCTGTATAGTGTAAGAGAAATGTATTCGGGATTCGTTGAATTATCTATTGTCGTGACATTTTGTAGATTTTGGTTGAGACTGGTCATATAGGAAGGCAGGCAAGTGGTTCTGTTACAGTCACAGATGGAGAGACTGTAAGTTCTCATCTTTCTTCTATTGATTAATTTATCATTTTTTTTTTGACAATGCTATATGGCTCATAATTATGCATGTAAGAAAAGCATTGATACTGTTCATGATTCACATAGTTCAAGAGAGTGTGCACACCGCTAAAGTATTTTCGTTCTTGCTAACTTAGGTTAGGTGATTGGTTAAATGATAATTTTGAGAGATAGCTTCTTGAGTATCAAGACCCAAATACAAGCATGTTGGTGTGTGGCTATGATTGATTGTTGAGTGGATTACTATCTATTTCTTCATAATGAAATGGGGATTAGCAAAAGAATTTCTTGTATGATGCTACTGTTAAACCTCCCAAAATTCAACATTGATTTGTGATGTGTCTTAACTGCACTTCACGCTTCTTTGATCTCTAGCGGTAATATTGAATTATTTGAGAACAGTATATTTTTCATGATAAACTCAACACTTGTTCCTTTGAAAAAAAAAAAAATCACGCCATTGTCTTTCTTATTGCAGATTGTTTACACATCTGTTTGTATAGATGATGTTCCTAGTGAGCCATCTGATTTTTTCCCTCTTTCTGTTAATTATCAAGAGCGTTTTTCAGCAGCTGGTCGGACGAGGTGTTCTTCCCCACAAGTTTCAATGTTTTTAATCTCTTTTGTTTCATTTTGCTTTTGGATATTGGATGAACTAATTGCTTTTTGGTCTTCCTCTACTGTTTTTCAGTGGAGGGTTTTTCAAACGGGAAGGGAAGGCAAAGGATCATGAGGTACTAATTATCAATTTTGGCATTTAGAAGACATGTTTTCTGCTGACAAATGTTCTTGAGTATAATAACCATTTAATTACTTATTGATAATTTGTTTCCCCTTTTGAGATTTACTCTTGCTTATGGTAA